CGCTCCCCAGAAGGTGAGGTACCGCCAGCCGTAACCGCCCGTGACGCTGTCTCCGTTAGGCAAGCGAGTGACGAGCACGCCATAGCCCATGCCGAGGGCGAAGAGGAGGATCGTCCTGAGCAAAGACCAGAGAAGGCCCATTACTGGGCTGTTGTTGTTAATGTTGCCGCTGTTGATGTCTGATGATGAAGATTCGCCTCTGAAAGTGGGGATGGTGGATGTTATGGAGGAAACTCGTCGTTGGCGCTTGGGTCTGAAGGTGATGGTCTCTTGGTAGGTCTCGTCATCGTCGTCGTCTTCATCCCTGGCGTCTCCGGCAATGCCTAGTACATTGGCCGCATCATCGGTTTCGTCCTCTGTTTCCTCCTTGAGTTGCTCGCCAAAGTAGAATCCATTGCGTAAGTTTGATGCCGAGCGACCTACTCCGGGCGTCGTAGCGGCCGTCCCAGGCTCGCTTGGATCAGAGAAGATGCCAAAGAGGGTGGAAGAAGTCAAGTTCCGGAAAGAGGTAGCTCTGCTGATATTGGACGAGTCAAGACCGCTAGTGACGGCTCCGCTGCCGGCGGGAGAGGCGCTGGTGTTGAAGGGTGATCGAGGGTCCAGGAGAAAGCGGAGGTCGGCGGCTGTGATGCGTGGTTGGGGCGAGGTGTTGGAGTCTCTGCCGGGCGCTGGGGAGGGAGACTCGTCCTTACGAGAAATCATTGGTGGTGAAGCTAGGTTGAAGGGTCGTCGAGGGATCGGGCGGAAGATTTTGGGACCATCTGTGGTCCCGCCATTGGAGTTTTGGTCCATCTTTGTAAGAGCCGCCCCTGGTGGCTTGCTTTCCCGTGCCGTCTCGTGCCACGCTGGTGCTGGGCTGATGTAGACAAAGGGCGTTGTAAACCTTATTGAAGCTTATTGAAACTCAACAGGAATGTCGACCTGGAGCATACGAAGCTCCAGGATATCAGGGATACTGTATAGATATACTCGGCGTGCTGTTTCTCCTCGTACGGATGGTAGATGCTGCAAGTCGGCCGACTGGCGTCTAGATTGTTTCAGAGCGGAGATGCCCGTAAGCAAGATGGATCAATGGCAAGCGCGTTGATGTCCAAAGAGGGTGCCCAACTCGGGGAATCCAAAGCGCCTCGAAGAATCGGGAAACAGCTGAGCTGATGGTCGTGGTGGTACAAAGAAGCTTGATAGGTCAGTCTTCGGATGCAAAGTGATGGATCTTCAGTCCGGAAGGGTGAGTGAGTGAGGAGAAGCTTGAACTTCCACCCCGCTCCAATGCTTATTATGGCTTTTTGAAAGATGTGAAGAAGGAACTACTCCAGGCTGACGTGAGTGAGTGCGGGAGAAAAGAAAAAGTCTTCTTGTTTATATGGAAATTAAGGATGAAAAGGAGTTAGATCCGCCTAGATCGAGTTAAGCACGCGGAAGGGAGACGAGAGAGGAAATAAGAGCCATGGGTCAGGGATATAGCATGTACTGTATTCCGTATTCCAACAAGGGGACCAAGGATTGTCAAGGGATGGTCTGACTTTGCGTTCCTTCCCCCATCTGATTCATCTGACACAAACCAACCACGTCTAACAAGGCAGCCTGTAAAGTCGTGATATGGTAAATGCAATGATCACCATCAACAATTGTTAATGGATTGTATGGGGCAAAGTCAAAACTAGGTACGAGATGCATCCGAGATGCACCAGATGCACCAGACGCACCCCGTGATGGATGGCCATCATTGGTGCGCTGGGCTACGCTGCAGTTACAGTGCAGTTGCATCCACGCGGATTCACAGCCGAAGAAGCGGAGAACAGGGCAACAGCATCCAGTGAGCTTCGAGATAATTCAGAAGGCAGTTAGTTGCGCTCGTGCCTTTCTCATCAGCTTTCCACATTTTCCACCTTGCACTTTGCACTTGCGCTTTCCCAATCCCCATCATCGTCGGTCACCACACCCGAATCCTATGGTGCAAATGATTGTCAATTGCCCTGGAAAGAGAATGGTCGCTACTGCAACTTGCAAACGCCAAGTCTACGCCTCTCTTTGCCAAGTGGGAACTGCCACTCCCTCGCCGCTGCCCTAAACAGTGACTCCTGATCCAAATTCCTGCTCGTGGCTTCCATAAAATTGCCCGAGACACTTGCCGTTCCAGGGACCATTGAAACGAGAGACATGGCGGGAGGTCACTTCAACCAACCTCTCCGTTCTTCGAACCCGTCCTTCCTTCCCACAGAGAAAAACAAACGTTGCAAGGGGGTTCTGGACTCCAAGATCCGCGCATCTGAATGGACGAGAGCCTTCTTTAGGAGCGGGGTCCATCTCCTGTTGTTGCCTGCCATGGACGCGGGACGATCAGTTCGACTGCCGTTGATTGACACTCAGTTCGCCTCTTTTTGTGGCAGGTGACGCTTTACCAAAATACCAGAGCAACGAGCATTGCCCTTGTTGTGCGGGGCAAAGTTGTCCAATATCGAAGCGCAAACCAAATAGAACAATTATTCTTAGTTGGATGAAAGGACCCAAGCCAATGTCTTTGGAACTTTCATCTGTTTACACCTTGATCCAGAAATCAACATCATTCCTCTGACCTCACTGACCCGAACGAGAAGTCTCGTCTGAATATTCTGTACAGCCCCACATCCACCCACCCCATCCGTTGATCAGATCAATCTATCAATCAGATCAGTCACTCCACCCACCACGCAACCGCATCCAATCTGCAACCTTCTTTCTCCAGTTCAACCACTCAAACCACTCAGCAGCCCTGATTTTTACCGCTGAACTGACTGACCGTTTCAATCACATGTCAGCAAATAGTCAATGTGCCTACGCAATTGAACATGAACAGATTCTGACAGCGTCCACGTACCTACCTTCTACCCTACCAGCCTATATAAAACAGGGCAACGAAACAAAGCCACAAACGTCGCACAAGGGATTCGGACATGCAATGCAATAAAATAGCTGGCAGAACCGGTCAGGGTTGCTAAAAACAAGGAGGTACGGTCAGCAAGCAGCAACCGAGCGAGCCAAAACAGACAGACAGACGATTTCCTCCTCTGCCCGGGTCTCATGACATGACTTTAAACCTTCCCCCCCACGCTTTGAGCGACGATGTAGATATGAACCATAAACGAACATACTCGGCCCTCTTTCTTCATTTTACCCCTGGCAACCAGTTAACCAGAAATCCGTCAAGCCTGATACCCGATTTTACTGCAATGGTCATTGGATTGGATACACGCCAGAAGTAGATAGCATTGATATCCTCACAGGTAAGTCCAATTCAGTATATGTAAAACAGGTTTTCTCGTCGGTAGCGTCTTGCAGCTCGTCGGTTCTTTGGGTGGTACAGAATCCGACTTTTGTTACTGGAAGGGAGAAGTATCGTCAGACATCGTCACTAAGGCGGTCGGATTGGATTGGACCCCTCCCTGACTAGTTCTAGCACTCACTACACCACACTAATTAGATCTGCGAGGATCGCTTGCCTGGGTAGGCGGCCTTCGGACAGCATTCGGTTCGGTTGTCAATGTTGCATGATTATGTAGCTTTGTGTGTGAATGTGTGTGTATGTGAGAGAGAGAGAGAGGGTAAACAAGTGAGTTGAAGTAAAGAGAACCATAAATTTGCCTGTATAATTATCGGATCAACGGGATCTCGGTTTGGCCGCGGACTGTACGTAATTAGCATCACTAGCGAGGACGACAACATCAGACATAACAAAGGAGTTGGTAGTTCACCTCGCAGAGTCGAACGGGTTTGGGGGGTTAGGTAGACAGGTTAAAGTTATGTCTGAACAACTAACCTACAATAACATAACATGTATGAGATGCAATAACCAGCAAGACGTCACAAAGTATCACCTCATGAGACAGCAGTCTAATTAAAACCATGTATTCGCGTCTAAACCATATGTACAAGAATGCTGAAATTTTGTTGCTGGGTTCGAGAAGTCAGAAAAAAGACAAAAATACAAGAAAACCGATAAAAAGATTCAATCGCCCATCCGCCCAACCACCCGCTCAACGTTGCCACAGTCATCGATAGTCATCGATCGCGTGGTGACTTGGCTATCCATATTCCCTCGACGACAGACGACGATGATGATTGTGATGATGGTAAAGAAGATCAAAGCGTCGCTGTCAACGGACCGGATTGCAGCAGAGATCCTACCTACTAGGAAAACCACGGCAAGAGAGGAAGGACAACGAAGATGGCGGCAACGTAACAAAACGGAACATACAGACACACAAAAGAAGAAAAAACTCGCGTCGAACCCAATGTCTAGAAAAGGCGGTTCCCAAAACATGAAGACAAAACCGACAGCATCGCGAGGAGAGAACAAGACCCAGCAGATAAAGAGTTCGGAAAAAGAAACGACCACATTTTCACCCATCATTCCACACAAGCGCTAACGGCACACATACAAACACGCACACAAGACAGAGAGGAAGTATTAAAAGTCGAAGTAGTAGTAGTAGTAAACTCTTGTTCGCAAATAACAGAAAGAAAAAAAGAAGTAAATGTAGACAAGTTTTGATCATCGGAGAACCAGAATCATTGCCCAACCTGATTTCCGTGAAACGCCCCCTGAAAAGAAGACAAAAATCAATCAACCCTTTGTTGCCAGCTGTGTAGCCATGCGTATGTGTGTTCCGTGGGTGAAACAAAAGCAGAGAGAGAAAGCCGGTAGGCAAAGAAGTTTCAGCCCATCCTTTTTCCGTCATACCTGCCTTCACATCCTTTGCCAAGTTTTCCCCACAGACCGAAACTGTTTCTCATCATAAAATCCTCAATCATGATCCGAACCTCAAAACGTGATTTCATCTTCCATGCTGCTGGTGTTTTGTATCCGCCTCTTGGGAAGGAAACTGAGTCTATGGTGTGGGGAAGGTAATGGTAATTTCTTTTCCTCTGATGTATGTAGGAGAAAAAGAAGAGGTATCACTGAGATATGGAGGAAAAAAAAGTTAAAGTAATAAAGCAGAACTTTTGGAATGAATCCCCGACCCGCGCAAATGCATAATTTGGAGAAACCCGCCCGGTCTATGCTCACAGAGACAATTCCGGATGCTCATGATGCGATACACCGTTGAAATTGTTTTGGGTAAGAGAGGAAAAAGAAAACCGTCTGCCTTATTCATCCTTCTTCTCGTCATTATTCGTGGTATCAGGCGTCACCTTGGACAATGCTGGGGAGGCAGAGGCCGAAGGAGGGGAGCCGGGGTGGTCTCCAGCATCAGCAAGAAGGCTGTGGATTGAGTTAGTTTGTCGGTTCAACACGTAGAGGGACACAGTTATCATACCTGAAAGCATTTGCGTGGGAAACCGAATCGTTACCGCGCATGGAAGCAGTACGGGATGAGCCGCCAGAGTCATCACCACCGCGGCCAAAAGCACCGCCAGGGCCACCGACTTGACGACGACCACTGTTGCTCCTAGAGTTGAACATGGACGTAGGGGGGCCGAAAGACATGCCCTGGCTACCGGCGCGGCTAGTGTTGCCCTTCAAACGCTTGAGATCACCAAGCTCGACCTGGTTGTTGGTCATGCTCTGGTTGTAAGGGAAGCCCCTAGCATCTCCGCGACCGGAAGCAGCACGGCCTCCAAGGCCACGCTGGCCGGTACGAGCATTCTCAACCGCCTTTGCGGCGGCAGCAGCCTCAGCCTGTGAAAACTAGTTAGTTTCATGATACCGCATTGATTAATGATTTTGCTGTAACTTACCTCAGCGCGAACCTCCTCCAACGTCTTAGGACCCTTGTTAGCCTCCTTGGAGACCCAGCGGGCCCTGCGAAGGTCGACAATGTCCATGAGCATGAACCTCAAGCGGCTTGGGAGGTCGGGAAGATCCATGATTTGCTGGATGCGGCCGAAGTAGACCTCCATCAAGGGCCTGCCCTTCTCGGTGCTGTCGAGGTTGCCACCGACCGTCCTCAAGAGCTTGGTGAGAGACTCAATTTCGGCCTCATCGGGAATGCCCGTAAACTCGAGCAGCTTGCGGACACACTCGTGCATGATACGTTCCGTAAGCATGCCAAGCTTGAACAGTTCACCAATGAACTGGACGAGGCCAAGACCACGACGCTTGGCGGCGGCGGCAATATAGTACTCGTCGGACATGAGGACAGCCTCGGAGGCCTTCTTGTCACCCTCCTCACCCTCCTTGGGCTTAGGAAGGTCCACCTTCCAACCACGCTCGAACTCCTCCTGACACCTGTTGAGAAGGTACTTGCGGAAGAGGGCGCCGCCGCTGACGACGTTGCCCTGCTTGTCCATAATGTTCTCGTCGCGGATCTCGGGGCTCATGGTCTCGAGCATACGCTTGCAGAACTTGGCATACATAGAAGCCCAGTGGGCTTCGTCCGTAGCCTTCTCGAAGGTGAGCTGAATGACCTGGCGCAGAGTGCGACCATCCTGCTCGTTCTTCGACTGGTGAGCGATCTCAAGGATCTGGTCAGAGATCTTGTCGAACTTCTCGGGTGTCATCTTGTTCAGGGCAGCCTTGACCTTGCGCTGAACGGTCTCAGGATCCAAGTGGCCGGGGGTGGGCGCCTCAGCCTTCTTAGCTCCTATGCTCATGGGCTTCCAGCCAGTTGCGGACACAGTGATAGGCTTGAGTTCCATGCCGGCAGTGAGCGGCATGTTCTTGGCAGCCTGAGCCTCGTTCTTGGAGTAACCCTCGCGCGGCTTGCGACGGCTGTTCTGACGGGGCGAGTCGGGGGTAGCAGTCGATGAAGGGGTGCGGCTGAGGTTGCCGGGGAATGTGCCTTGGCGTCCGAAAGCCATAGTGCCCATAGCACCAGGTCTACCAAGAGCGCCCATACTTCCACTAGCCTGTTGCGACATAGCGAAACGCTCCGCCGAAGTGGTTCCAGGGGGCAGGGCAGGCTTGCCAGAGAACTGGCCCATGGCAGGGAAGCCGCCGCCCGAAGCACCGCCACGGCCTCTCTGGGATCCAGCACCAGGGGTGCGAGCGGAGGCCGAGCGACCACTGTCAGAATCTCCGATGAGAGACTTAACCTGCTGGTGGAATTCGGGAGAGGGCTGCTCCGTGAATACATTCTGGAACTGCAGAAGGAAGTTGGCGTCATACTTGAAGATCTTGCCCTTCTTAGAAACAGCCTGGTTGAGGGCCGGGTTGGGGGAAGCGATGCCGGCAGGGTAGATATCATACTGCACACCAGGGAGGAGACGGGCGGACCGCAGAGACTGAAGAGCAGCGCTGGGCTGGGGGGCCTCAACGGACTTGGTGTTGAGAGGAGCAAGGTTGAGAGCAGCAGGCTTGTTCTTGCCGAGAGCCTTGGGGGCAGCATCAGCCTCCTTCTTGTCATCGGCCTCCTTCTTGGTGAGAAGATCGGCGACAGACTCGCCCTGGCCGGACTCCCTCTCCTTGCGCTTGCGCTCACGCTCTTCCTCGATTCTTTCCATCTCACGTTCCTGCTCGCGGAGCTTGCGATCGTTCTCGGCAGCGTTGGCCAGGCGCTCAGCCTCGGCCTTCTTCTTGGCCTCCTCGGCCTCAATGGCCTTCTTCTTGGAGATCTCCGCCTGCTCCTTCTCACGGCGAGCATCTCTCTCCTCGAGTTCGTTGAAGTAAGCGTCCATCTGCTCATCGCTGAGTTTGCCATGGTCGATGTTGTTGAGCTCCTTATCAGTTAGCTTGGCGAAGTCGAGGTTGCTGTAGTCAATTTCAGACTCCTCCTTGGCCTCAGGCTTCTTGACAGCAGCAGCGGCGGCATCGGCATCAGCCTTAGCCTTAGCCTCAGCTTCCTCCTTAGCCTTGGCTTCCTCAGCCGCCTTCTTCTCGGCAGTAACGCGCTCCTCCTCCTTGGCCTTCTCCTCGGCGGCGGCCTTCTCGGCGGCAGCCTTTTCAGCAGCGGCCTTATCAGCGGCCTCCTTCTCGGCAGCCTCCTTGTCAGCGGCGGCCTTGTCGGCAGCAGCCTTCTCAACGGCAGCCTTAGCGGCCTCTTCCTCGTTGGTCTTATCGGCGGGAGCCTCAGTCTTGGCCTTCTGGACTGCATTCTTGAATTCGTCACGAAGTTGCTCGGCAGTCTTGCCAGTTGTGCTCTCAGTACGACCGTGGGTGGGGGCAGTAGGCTTGGCGGGAGGGGGGGTAGGTGTTGAAGCAACAACAGGCGGTGTCTTTGACTGCTGCTGGATGCTGGGTGCCGGAGAGGCAGGGCCCTTTATCGCGGAAAGGTCGAGAGGGTTGCCGTTGGGATCCTTGATAGTTATGCCTGCGGACTTCTTGGGTCTAGCAAAGTTAGAGGAAACAATGGCGGGCGCGGCCTGGGCAGGACGCTGTGTCGGGGTGCTCTGCGCAACGACGGGTGCCTGGACTTGACCAGTGCTCGACGCGGGACGATCAGAAACCTGCGAAGCGTTACGGGACATCGGCTGAGCAACAGGCTGCCCTTGAGGCACGAAGGTGGGAGGAACGTATGTGGGCTGGAAATGGGGGACAGGCTGGCCCATATAAGGCATGGGCTGGCTGTAGGGGTTAAAGACGGGACCACGATAGTCCATGGGAGCAGGATATCCGGGCACCTGTTTTTGCTTTGTTAGCAGATTTTCGAATTGGCCGCTCGCGGGCGACAGGTCCATGCTGCCGAGCGATGGCGGAGAAAACATAGGAACAGAGCGGAGGGGGACATAGTCGTAGCGAGCTGGCGGAGCATTTGAGAATTCCGGCATAGGCGGACCACCGTTGACTTCTTGGTATGCGTCTGCCTTGGAAGCCCAACGCTTGCTCTGACGTCGAGGCTTCTGAGCCGGATCATCGCTCGTACTTGACTGTGGCTGTGAAGAATTAGGGTGCCTAGGATGGATACTGTCTGAATCCCGGCGTGTCCCTTTGTTCTTTTTGTTGACAGGCTTGAATGTGGAGGGGTTGTTGGTAAAGGAAGGGGGAATTACTTGTTGCTGGTACATGTTCATGCCGGGGTAGAAGGGCGGCTGAGTAGGTGCCAGGCTGGCAGAGGCCATGGTAGGGGTGCCGTGAGTAGGAACAGCGTGAGCCGGAGCCGGGCTCGAACGGTGGGGCTGAGGAGAGTTAGGATACTGCTGCATGCCTCCGCGGCCTTGGAAGTTGTTCATGCCACCACGACCAGCGTTGTGCTGGGGACCGTTGTAGGACCTGGTGGGAGGGAAGCCCATGGTGGGGTTGTTGTTGTAGTTGTTATAACCCCCGCGGCCACGGCCCTGACCCTGATAGCCACCACGATGGCTAGCCATATGGCCAACTGTCTCACCGTGAGCAGAGGCTTGCGAGTCCCGTCGTGTGTGGACTGGGCCATTGCTGTGAGAAACAGAGTGCTGCTTCATATGGCGCTGGAAGAGGAACTTGGTCAGCAAGCGGTTGCTAAAAGATATGATTGGGTAAATCTTACATCGTTGTCACCGGGGAAGCTACCGAACGTCATCGGAGCAGAGATGTTGGAGGGAGCCCGCTGGCCACCGCTCTGCTGGGGCACCTGAGGAATAGGCGAGGGCGAGGCGGCGGGAGAAGAGACTCTGGCGTTACTGCCAGGAATCGGGATGGGGACGGAGCCAGCAGCGTGGGGAGTGCTGTGGGTGATGGCAGGCGACTCTTCGAAGCCGAACTGGATGGCCTTGGCGCCACCGACAGGACCGCCGTTGGCGTTGTGGCTGGGAGGAGCGGCGCTGATGGTGACGGAGCTCTTCCTAGAGTGGTCAGCAGAGGCTCCGTTGAGGCCCGAGCTACCTCTGGCGATAGGTACGGCGGGGGTGATGTTGGGCCGGCCGTTCACCGGGGCAGCTTGAGGCTTGCCATTCTGGGCGGGAGCGGAGGAACCAACCACGACGGGGGGCTGAGAACCCGTCGCAATCAGCGGCGTGCTTGTCTGCTTCTTCGCACCGGCTGCGGAAGCATACGACGTTGCTGCAGGAGCGGACGTAGGTTGAGCCGGAGTGTTCTGTTGACTCGCAGAGGAAGTCATAAGGGTATCGGGTGACTCGAAAGCCGGTTTCTTTGTGGATGGTTGAGTGCGCGTTGGGGAGGGGAGAGGGTCGAGGATGGACGAGGTGTTCCCGGGGGGTGGGAATGTCGAATATCAAACTCGACAAGAAAGGTCGCCGCGCAGTGGGGACAAAAAGTCACAAAGACTGGGATCAATTTCGACGCGCAAAAAGAACGGCGGCCGAAAGAGAATGAGAGTGCCTGGAAGGAAAACCGCTGGTGGGTTTTTTTGGCGGATTGGATTAGGCGGTTGTAAAAACCGAAAGAGACCGATACCGATGCGCGTTGCACTGACGGTAAAAGTCGAAAAAGACTGGAATGGAGTCTCTGGTAGAGAGAGTGAAGGCGGTGGTGGGTGGGTGGAGGATTTCCTCTTGGTGGGTGGGTTGGACCTGGCCAAAAGTGGGTTCGTCGCAAAAAAACGAAGCGGCCGGCGAAAACCCTCGTTGCTGCGTCCGCACTCTCTGGTGGATTGGAAATGGAAGGTTGCGTTGCCTTCAGGGTTTGGGTTGGTGGCCACTGGTAGGCACGTAGCTTGGCAGTTGGGCCAATCTCGTGGGTCTTTGACGCTACCGCGATCGATAAGGTCGACGATAGGGTGTTCGCTCGCCCAACGCTCAATCAAATGAGTTAGGTAGAGTGGGCTTGAGTGGAGATGGAATCAAGGGCAGTCTCTGGATCTCTGGGAAGTGAATCCTGAGAAGACGAGAGTACGGTCCCGATGTTGACTATCTCGAAGTGGGGGAATAGAAAAAGAGAACCCTGTGAAGTTGGGTTTCCTCCGTGGGGTTTTCCTTCACGAGTCTAACAAGACAAAGGTGAAAGATGGGTGGGAAGAAAAAGGGCGAGGACCAAATTTTCTGGGGCAAGGGCTCATGGATACACTTTTTTACTGTGTGGAAGAGGGCAGGGGGTCGACCAATTGCGAGCGTGAGGAACAGAGATCCCTGCGACGCCCCGGGGTACGTACTCTTTGCGGAACGTGAAACTTGAACCCAACCTGCGTGCCCGGTGCATGCCACCACTGACCAACACCTCAGCGCCGGGCAACGTCCATCTGGCCATCCCCCAGGTAGGGTACTATGGTATGTATACGGACATACAGCCGGTCGCAGAAAAAGGACGGCTATCAAGATTTTCTTGACAGCAGGGGATTTACTTTTCACTTAGTTGGCCCTCAAAGCTCATTCAATAAAGTCCCAAGGTTGGATATCGTTTCACTCTCGGTCCGTCGTCCGGTCGTGCGTTGGCCGGCCGGAACCGATACTTTCCACACTTCACACATGCGTCTTCGGACTTCCACGCCAGATAAAGGAACATGAATATTTAACGTGCCATTTATGCTTTACCCGCTGCCTGTTGAGCCTCTGCCACCCCAGAAACCCAGAGACAGAAAATAGAGTTAGTTCACGCCCTTGGACATTTTTTTATGCGAGCCATCAAGTTCAATTGATAACCATGGTGCCCAGATGGTCGGGAGCCCGATCTGATGCAGATGCGGCTCTGAATGTTCCTAGCATGGACCAAGGCATTTGGGTACAACAGCCCTGAAGTATACAGCCACATCGCGTGTGGCACAGCTCAATTTCCCACCAGGGCATTGCTGATTCAAGACATGGCCGTAACAGGCAGTAACAGTTTGTTGTAATGAGCTTCTAATCTATCACTGAATCGACGCCCCATTGAGAGGACAGAGACACTTCCGAGTATCAAAACAGATGATGTACCCGGGGCTGTCGCGACTATACCTCGTCCCTTTGTCTAGCCCTCGTCCCTTTGTCTAGCCCTCGTCCTGAACGATGGGGTACGACGGGGCTAACAATCGAGGGTGGACCTGGTCCAGGATTCTCCAGACATCTTTTTCTCCAAGTCCAAGACCGGATGGGGTGACATGGGCAACAACTAGGGGAGTCGGGCGCGGACACGTTCGGACAACATGGGGAGTTATCCTGCGAGACTGGAACGTCAAGACACTGATATTAGTATATCCATGATCCCCGGCGTGGTGGTAGACATTGCCTGACAACAGACATCCCAAGATGCGATTCTGCCCTTCGTCTGTCGATGGGGACGTCGCAACATACCCGGTCGGCTGTTCTACATATGTTTTTCGCAAATGGCAATCTACGGCTCGATTGTGAGTGGCCGGCATGAGACTTAGAGGTAGGAAAATTTCATACCCCCGTAAGTCTTCTTTTCCCCAATACTGTACCCATGGAACTGGTAAAACTCCAATGAGTCTCATTTTTAATACATCGGACAAGAAATAACCACCGGATCAAGTTCATCCCCCTTTATGGTAGACGCCGAGTGGAATTTTCAGTCCAAGGGACGACTGCATCTGAAGACGCACAACTCGAACACCGCGGTACGTGGGTACTTCCTAGGTCTGACCAGGTTGCCGGCGTCTTGATGGAATTGTTCTTTTGCATGTGTTTTAACCGACGGTTCTCAGCCCGTGTATCAAATATGTCAAACAAAGCGGCTTCCTTCCACATATTATCGATCTAGGAAACACGCATTTCCCATAGATACAAAAATGCGGCACCTGTGACATTTCAGGGTCATCAGCCAACAGCAACCGGTGAGTATTTTGGCCTGTCTGTTGGAGCTACACGAATTGCCCGACCAAGCCGGCTCAGCTGAGTGACTTTGATTGAACCCGTTGACGGTGATGAGTGAGTGACTTTGATTGAACCCGTTGACGGTGATGAGTGAGTGGCAACTTACAAGCTGGTGAGGAAGGCCGGGGCGAATATCCCTCCCGGTGCCCTCTTATCGCCGATAGTACGGCACACATTTGGAGATTCGGAAAGCACACGAATCAACACACTGCAACCAAAACAACCATCTCTGACTCACCCGCAACAGCCCCAAGGCTCCCATTTGCGATCCTGTTATTTGTTCTGTCGAATTATTTATCTGTGTAGTCTTGCCATCGACAGTCCAGCTGGTCTGCCTCTCTGTCCACTATGACGTCAACCCACAAGTGTAGGTAGGTCTTGGGCTCTTATGCCCTTTCTGGTATCATTCGGACGGTGAGATTTTTATGTTTGCCATCTCATTTCTCCGATTGTTCCATTCTTCAGTTGGGTCCTGAATTTAGATCAAAGTCTGCTTCAACGATTGCAAGCTTCCATCCCGAATAACACTAGGCCCAAAATTGAACATCTCTTAATCCCACTGTTACGTCTCCCAGAGCATCGAGGCTATCCCAAGTTCCTTTATGGGCAAAATGTCCCATCAAGCAGCGACATTCTTGGCGTTTCATGTACCCCGCCTGAACTCAAAAAAAGTTCAACTTCGCCGCCTCCAAGAATCAGACACAGCCTAACGACCTGCAAGACATCGTCTCACTGCGAGCCGCTCAAAGTCCAAGAAACCAAAGAAACAATCTGTTGCCCGGATTCACCATCTGCTAACTCCGAAGTGAACCCTCGGTCTTTTCTCTCCTCATTCTCACTTCTTGCCTGCAAGTTTTCAAAATCCTTTTTTCTGTGCGTTATGCACTTGTCATTGCCCTAGAATGGGCTAGCCTGCCACTTCCGCCTGCCTTGTCTGCCAGGGCCCGGTCCCCAGCGTTCGCATGTACTTGTACACTACAGTACCTCGCAAGTCCAACCCCTCCTTGTTGTTGTCGTCGTCGCCGCCGTCGTTTTCGCTCGTTCCAATTCCAAAGCAGGGAACCCACCTCAACTACGACGATGTAAGTCAGGCAAATGGTGGGGCAGCGGAGCCCATGTTTGGATTGGTTAGTGCCGCCTCCATTTACAACTTCATTCTTAATTTTGTGATGATTTACTTTTTGATATGTTCATTGCCTACAATATTTCGTTGCCTACGACATCTCAAACTTGACCAGACGACGCCATGGATGACATTCTCTCATGTTGGCCGGACAAAACGTACATATAGAACAAAACCTTGGGAAGCTACAGATGCGTATACACACAGAAGGGACTCCCGACACCTCGTCACAGCGGCCTGGCGAACGACAACAACTGGAATCATTACAGATTTGCTCAAAAGTCGGCCAATCACTTGAATCCCGACGGTCGGCCATGAGTTAACTGTCTTTGTCAGATCTCCAACCCGGCAAGCCATGAGCCAAGAGCCATCAACCAACGAACATCGAATGAAATACCGTACACTCAGCCCAGAAATCACATAGTCAAAGAAGCCAAACCCAGCACAGCAACACGCCGCACTGACACTTAGCAGAACATTGTACCCCCTTGGCCCCTTGCATAGATCCATGAATGGAACAACCGACGAACAAAACGAGACTGTCAAAACGCAGGTCCATCGAGGCCTGGGCCATAAGGATCAAGCAAAAGTCCGTGCCCCCTCGCCTCGCCTCATCCTTCCCTTCCCTTTCAGCCTTTCCCGTCTCTCTCCTTGTCTTTGCCGGCATTAGGCGTTGGCGTTGACGTTTGGCGTTGACGTTTGGCGTTGACGTTTGGCGTTGACGTTTGGCGTTGACGTTTGGCGAGTCTACCTACTTACGGTCCTGGAAGCACAAGCACAATGCGATGCGTTGCACATTGGCTTCTCATTGTTCTCATTCTTCCGACTCCGAGCAACGCTTCGAGCAGTCGTCTTTCGGCAGTAATAACAGCACAAAGCAGTTGATACCAGTATCAGACAGGTTGAGTCCGGCCCGGGCCGGTCTCCCACTTAATGCATCTCCCTCGTGCGTGGTATGGCTCGTGATATCTAAGCCCCCACCATAAGCTCCCCATGAATCCACGACCGGAGCTCGGAAGTAAACTCCGTAGTCCTGTAAACAAGGCTGAGTTGAGCACTTTGCAGCAAAAAGAATGCAAGCAATGAGTGCATTTACCAAGGGTACCGCGTCTTCTAGTGTAGGTAGAATGGCTGACTGAGCAAGATTCTGGAACCAAACCGTATGGGGAGTATGTGCCTATCTACATGTACGTGTGCAGTGTACATGCATACAGTAGCCAACTTCCAGTGTCCAACTTCCTGCTCTCTCAACTTTTGTGCAACCTCGAAAACCCGCAGACGACGAAGAGCACGCGCCGGCACCGGCACCGGCGCCAGTTCCGGTACACTACACTACCGGTAAAGCGAGGTGAATTAATTATCTGCTTCACTCAGCATGTGCCCAATTACCGGTATGTAGTGCACGACGTCAGAAGTTGTACCCTTTGCGTAGGATTCGGGGTGCCGGGGTCCAATAACTTTCTCAGCCTCTCCCTTCGTTGGAATTTGCTCGTTCAAACGGTAGTGATCGGCCTGGAAAAAAGTTGGGGTTAATGTGAGGGCTGATCATCAATGGTTTTTTTTCTCTTCTGCTTGTTGGTTGTTGGAGATGCAAATCATTAACGGAGTCGGTCACTTGCATACCTATGGTGATTATTGTTTGATTACATCATTTTGGTTTGCTACTAGAGAACCAACGTATAACGGATGAAATTCTTCTTCCACGGCTGGTGCTGGGTTGGGAACGAAAGGACACTGAAGGGTCGGTCAGATACGTTCGAGCTAACATAGATAGCAAAACACCCAACGCTGGGGGAAGATAGTGAACAATGACAAATATACCTATGTATCAGGCAATATTAGAGCAAAAAAGCCAGTCATGTAGAGGTAGGATCCAATGATACCATGGGCACCTGAAGACATGTAGCTTAGGTAGCTCCCTGGAACTCTTGCCAATTGCGAACGCGGTGCGATATCTTCCATGATTCTTCACATTTTAATGCTACTATCAACCCAAACAATGCATGTGTACAACGTAGTACAACCACCAACTAGCATGCCAAACTAAGACTCAGACAACGCAAATCTAGTCTAGATCCAGAACCAAATCTAAATCCAAATCCGAATCAATCCTCCTCAGCCTCAAACCCTTCAGCTCTAACAGCCTCGACCTCCTCCTCATCCGGCATCGCCAACTCCACAACCTCAGCACCATCCTCCCCGTCCGCAGCCACTACCTCCACCTGTCCCTCGCCCTCCTCAGTAGGAGCAGGCAATTGCTTCCCTTCCTCCTTCAACTGTTCGATCCTGGTCTTGGTCATCTCAAACACGTACTGTCCCAGATGCTCCACGCCCTCCATGGCCGTCTCTCCCTCGAGTCCTTCCTTGCCAACCTCATCAGCCAGCACACGCTGCGAAGGCCACAGCTCGCCGGTGACGAGGGTCAACTTGTCCGGGCGCTGGAGGAGCAGCTCGAAGGCTTCGCGGAGCTCGTAGCACGACTCGAAGACGGAGCGGCGGCCGAGAATGTACAGACCGAGACGGGCGCGGGAGAGGGCGACGGTTAGGCGGCGGATGTCGCGGAGGTAGCCGACGCGGGACGTGCGGGTTAGGGAGAGGATGATGTCTGTTGTTGGTTAGCGTGTTAGCGGATTGCTAGAGAAGAGGAAATAAAAATGGGAAAGGAAGAGGTGGAAAACGTACAATCATTCTGCTCGCCCTGGTACTTGTCCACCGTCGTGACGATCCTGGGCAATCCGAAGATGGGGTTCTTCGCGCAACGGTGACCCAACACATCCTTGATCAACGCCCTCTGTCCGGCGTAAGTAGCGAGGATGCTGATTTTCTCTGCGGGGTAGCCCAACAAACGCATGTACATGAAGATGGCCACTGCGTACTCTGCCTCGCCCAAGTTCTGGATAAAGTGCGGCGTCGGCTCGCTCTCACCCTGGCCCTTGTAGTCAGGGACGTCGATGAACTGGTACTCGTATTTGAAACCGGCGTTGGCAGTGAGGAACTCGGTAGCCGTCATGGTGTGCGGCAGATCGTTGAGCGATGGGTAACGCCACTTGTAGAGACCCGAGATGGAGGGCCTGGCGCGGCCCTGGAGGTCGAGGTTGATGGTGGGCACGCCGAGGCGCACGAGGCGGGAGAAGAGGGACTGCTCAAGATTGACGTAGTGGCGGAAGGCGAGAGACTGGATAACGGGGGAGTTCTGATAGTGGTCGCCGCAGAGGACAATGCGTTGGAGCGGGGCCTTGCCGTCCTTGGGCTTCTGCATGGCGAAGGGGATGAAGTTCTCGATTTCGGTGATCTGAGCGGCTTCTTCCATGACCACGTTGTCGTAGTGGAAGTCCAGAGCGGCAATCTTACCACGGCGCATGGCAGCGTGGGTGGAGGTCATGGCGATGATGCGGGCTTCGTTGGTCAGGAGGTAGTTTTCCTTATCGCGATCCCGGCGGAGGATTTCAAAGGGCATAACATCAGCAAGCTCGGTGAAGATCTTGGAGATGTGGCGATAACAGCCGTTGGCAATCTCCCGGACAGTGTCGACATCGGCATCAGGAGGGAACAAAGGCTGGGGCGCGTCGGCAAAGTAGTAGTGGAAAGGGAATGCCTTGACGATGTCCTCAGGGGTTGCGTCTTCAGCCTTCGCAATGTCGCTGAACTTGGCCCATGCGGGTTGGACATAGACCTTATTGAAATAGCCTGCTGTCTCGGCCGAGTTTCCGTGGGCACCAGGTGCTCCTATGCTGGCAGCGAGGCGATTGACTTCAAGGAGATACCGATCACGGTTCTCAAGGAAGGATTCCACTCGTCCGTGCTTGCTGAAGCTGCCCTCGGTTTCCAAGTCCTCCTCACCATGTCCTAGACGTAGAAGATGACGCTCATCAATTTCCAACGCTACAATCTTGGCGAAGAGCTGGTTCAGAGCCTGGTTGCTGTGTGCTATGAGCAGAGTCTTCTGTTCAGGGAAGTTGTGGTATATGTTGTTGATGATCTGGGTGGCAACATCGGTCTTGCCTGTTCCAGGAGGGCCGACAACAACCGTGAGGCCAGGTTGAGAGCCAGAGATGATGGCTTCTACCTGCTTGGGGGTGAACCGGACGGAGTTGAGTTTGGGCGCATCGATGGGATATGGCCCGTTGTTTGGAGGCTTGTAAGTCGAAACCTTCACTGTCTCTATCTCGGATATGAGAGCAGGCTCGGCATCCCGCCTCCTCTTCTTGGAAGGCTTGGAGGTTCCCTCCTCGGCCGGTTTCTCAACAGTCTCGAGGATGAAAGGGGGGTTGATGGTTCCAGATACATCCTCGCTGGGCTCAACATTCTTGCCGGGCAAACACTCGATCAAATGCTCCCAGTCTAGGAATGTATCGCGGTAGTCCAACTTCTTTATCCTGTTGGGAAGGTTCTTGTATGTTGCCCCAGCTGGATCACCATATCCCAGGAATACCTCATGCATCCATGGAGCGAGAGGTACTTCGGAGAGGGCGAGGTCACGGATCGACTCCAAGACCGGCTTGAAGTTGTTCTCACGACCGCTTCGACGGACGATAAGGTTGATTCCCTCATATACGTTCCGCTTACCCTCCGAGTCCCGCTTGTAGGCATGAGCATCCAAACGAACCTGGATCTTTCTTGTGTAGCTCCGATTGTGGTTCTCAAAGTATGCTTGAGCATCGCGGACCGCTCGACCTCTGTCATCCATTATCTGGATCACCTCTGCCGTCCGGACAGTCACCAACCCCAGTCTTTCGGCCTCGCTAAGAGGTGCCCCGCCGTTTTCAACCTTCTTTGCCTTGGAAGCATTTACTTCGACCAGGAACAACACGTCATCGGGCCGAAGAGCGTCCCAGTCACGGCGAACATGCTCTGTCAGTTTACGCAAGTCGATGGTTACTTCAGCCTTTACAGTCGAAGGGACATCAGTACCGACAAGCGGCGGGACGACATCAAGTACTGTTGGCTTGCCGATTGGCAAAGCCATCCTTGAGAAACCCGTGAATACAGTTTCACCGGTGCGCCGAGCCTCAGGTTTTAGCCTTGTCAAGGCTGCCTCGACATCTTGTCGGATAGCATAGAATGCCTCGCAACGATATAGGGTCAGCGACCGCCAAAGGAAGTCTCCTACTGTGAGATACTGCAGATTCACTTTTGGCAGCGCCAAAGGTCGCGAACCATCATAGTAATCGGTCCTTCCCAGACCAGTCTCAAAGAGCGTCTCTTCCGTGGGAAGAACACTCAGCTCAGCCGCCTCTTCTTGGAAGGTCTTGTGACGCTCGAATGTTGACAATAGCACCTCCATCAAGAACCTCCGGTCCACCACTAAGGTCGAAGATCCTGGGTAGCTGATTCGCATTCCTAGTAACCGAGACAACTCGGTGAGCTCTTCGTCGGTCAAGACATCCAGCAGCCCAAAAAGGTCAGATCTCTTGTCGATGGAGCCGTAATTGGACAAAGCAAGCACTGTCAGCTTGTCTTTGAAGTGTTTCAAGGATGTCCTTTGTAGCTTTGCGAGCCTGGCGCAATGCTGATCGTACGCCTCGGTCTTGCTATACTGAACTCCTGTCTGGTCATCCACCATAAAGTACACGAAGTGCGAGAGGAGCTTGGTGAGATCCCGCAACAGACCGTTTCCTTCATCGTTGTACATTGGTGATAGGTGCAGAGCCGGCAAGATATGGAGGTCTTGGAGCAGGGTGTTGACGTAGCGTCTTGTTGGGAGCTGGCTGAGGACATCTATCAGGAGCTCGAGGAAATGCTCGCAGTACATAACCTGGTCTTGTTTGGCGGTTGGGTTATAAAGAACCCTGAAGAATTCCAGGACGGAGCTGTACAGCCATGCCCTCTCGAATCGCAAGCGGGCTTTTCCTGCATCATCCGCCACATCATATCGCTTGGCGGATGCCCTCCAGGCTTTCCTCAGGTGTGTGTTCGAATCCAGCAGCTCGTTGCGCTTCTCTTCGGTGGACAGATTGTGCCAGATCGATATCGAGACCAGGGGTGCGCATTCCTTCCGGACAATGGTGCAGTCCAAGCTCTCAAAGGCGTATATGATAAACTGGAGGACTTGGGTCCTGATGCTCCAAGATAGCGAGTCGTCGAGGGTCATGGACAGGGCGCGGCGGAAGAGGTCGGAGAAGTCAGTTGGGCGGTCATTGAAGAGGCCTGGACAGGTATTTAGTTAGTACCCATGGTCATCGATGGGAGAAGAAGTGCTTGGGTTGAGCTCAGTTGACATACCCCATGCGTCCAGTCTTTCCCTGCGCTTGGCATTGACTATCAGAACAATCAGGAGGACATGGTAATTGGACGAATCTTCACCGTAACCGGGCCAGAGGTAGCTATTAGACAGTTAGCGGCGGGCATCAAGGTGCACATCTCTTTGGGGAGGGAGACAACATGCCTCTCCAGTGTCTGTAGACCTTCCAGCACCAACAGGGATTTGAGAGGGAAGCCATCCTTCTCTAGGGCGTCCCAGATCTCGCTCTTGAGCACATCGTTCTTGACCTTGACCTTGACCTCGTCGGCGCGTTTCGTTGTCTTCAGCCAATGTTGGCGCGCAAGGTTGGCAAACTCGCTGTCTCCTTCCAAGTCCTGGGTGGTGGGCCGTCCCGAGCCGGCGGCTGGCCCTTTGTCTGCATTCGCGCTGCTTTTTACTCGTTTCGCCGGCGGCATGTTGGGGTGTGTGTGATAGAGTCGTTGTCGCGTGCAGAGGGCGAGATCTTCGTCCAACCGCGTTGCTGGTGTTTGAAATTTGGAGGAAGTCGAGATTCCAATTGCTGGACTGCGAGAGTGACGGTACGGGTCACTACCAGGATCACTATCAGCGATAAGTGGAAGTTAGAAGTGCCTGTGTTAGCGTTTGCAGCTTCGAGAGGAACTGGGCAGGAGGTACACCGTAAAGTGCAAGTACAGGGCATGCATGTACCTTTCAGAGTTGACACGCTTTAGCGCTCTTGCAGCCTTGCAGGAAATGTCACAGTGTGGGTATCCACCCTGACTCCACATGCAAAAAGAAATGGAGCTCTTGCAGCTCAAGCACGGACATCAGACCCACTTGCATTCAGCCTTGTCACAGCTTCCACTGTAATGCTCCATCTCCGGTGTCTGTCTCAGTAAACAACAAGTGAACCTCACCTGAATGCCTTGCTCTTCTCCCTCTTCCTTCCATCTTTACTTCCACCAATCTCTCAAAAAGTCTTTTTGGCGGTCTTTCTTTTTCTGTCAGGGCTCAGATCTTATACCTGGGACAAAGGTATTCATTCGCCAAACTCATCCAACTATCAGCACCATCATCAAAGAGGATTGCCGGCAACACTGCAAACTCACCTCTCGCCAAGCCTCTTCGTAGCTTTTAGATTCGTGCGAGACTGACATCGACAAGACTGATATCAACAACATTCATCCGCTCGCTATCAACAGGGTCAGCGAGGCAATGAGAAAAGATGCCTTCTCGCGTTATTGAGAGCCACGGTGTCCCCGGTGTCGCCGCCTTTTCGGCCTTTCTCGACAACCTCTTGGCACGCGCCGAAACAGTCAAGCCAACAGCATCCATCGAACCTCCTCTCGACAAGGCCGACTTTCAAGATCTGCAGACCCAGCTGAACGAGGCCCTGGGAATAGACCCCAGCCAAGTTGGTGAAGTAAACGATGCAAAACGGACACAGCGGCACGCCATCATCGAGACTGCCGTGAGAGACACGTTCAGCAGCCTGGTCGTGAGTTTGACTTGAGATCCTGCCGAGTTTGCCAGCTTAGGTTGTGCCCAAGCTGACTGACATCGCCAGGCAACCACCTCTATTGATTCGCCAGATTTTGCCCGAGTATGGAACCTCTTCGACATCTTGTCCATCCTCTCCGACGACGAGCAATGCGATCCCGCCCTGCTTCTGTGGCTAGTTGAAGAACTGCTTGACAGTCAGACCATTGCCGGTTGTCGCAAGGTGTTTGATTTTCTCGAGTCCCGCCGAGAGCGCATCACAGCCAAGCATTTTGGTCAAAAGAAGCTGGTCATTCTTCGCACCTGCAATGAGCTTCTTCGACGTCTGTCAAGAGCGCTAGACCCAGCGTTTTCTGGTAGAGTGTTCATCTACCTCTTTCAAAGCTTCCCACTAGGTGACAGAAGCTCTGTGAATCTTAGGGGAGAATACCACGTCGAAAATGTCACTACGTGGGATCAGGAGCCGGCAAAGGCGGAGGATGCTTCCGCCGATAGCATGGATGTAGACATGGAGACGCAGGGCGAAACTACCCAAAAGACCGGCGATCAGCGATCAACTCCCAAACCCGGAACTGCAGACGCCAAAAAGCATCGGGACAAGGCACTCGATCTGGAAGCTTTGTACCCCATCTTCTGGTCTCTGCAGGAGAGCTTCAATCGGCCAAAGAAGCTGTTTGAGCCCGCGCAGTTTGCCTCCTTCAAGTCTGGTCTAGAAGCGACCATGGCCATCTTCCAGAGCATCAAGGTCGATCAAAGCGCACGTTCCAGGGACTCAAAGGACAAGTCCGATGAGAGCAAGCGTGCACTGAAGAGGAAGCGTGGTGAAGGTGAGGATGACGAATTGGCTAATGGTTTCAACCCGAAATACCTTACCAGTAGAGATTTGTTCAAACTGGAGGTTCGTTCCCCTTTTTCACATGTCCTTATCTGCCGCCTTGACTGACAGGAAAAACGCAGATTGGCGATCTTGCGCTACGCCGAAACGTACTGGTTCAAGCCTTGATCATCATGGAATTCCTACTTTCCGTCTCATCCAAGGGCAAGGAAAAGATCGTCAGAATCAAAGCGCCCAACAAGTCTGTATCACATTCGGATCAACAGCTGAGCGAGGAAGACACCAACTGGGTGCTGGACATGAAGAAGAAAATTGCCGATTACCTCAAGATAGGCCCAGAAGGCCCTTACTTTTACCGGATGGTGGAGACTGTGCTGAGCAGGGACAAGAATTGGGTACACTGGAAGGTTGAGGGCTGCCCGCCTATCGAAATGCCCGCCGTTTCACCTCAGACGTTCCTCGATGCCAAGATTGCGGCAGGCAAGCTAGCAACAGCAAGGAAAATGAGAGACGCGCCGATGGGCTCGATGAACTGGGACTTCCTACAAGATGAGGACCCAGACGAGGCTTGGAAGAAGCTCGAAAACCCGGAACGGTACCAGCAGCCCGACCTCAAGACACTCCAGCGAAAGTTGGAGGATGCCAAGTTCGATATTGAGATGGCCAGAGATCCCAAGGAGAAGCAAAGGGCAGTCGAGGCCAAGAACAGCCTTACCTGGGTGGCTCTGAGAGTCGCCAGCAGATCCAGACTGGCAATGTTTGACAACATCGACAGCGACGACAACATTGACAAAATTTTCGAGGACAAGCCTAAAGAGGACGAGCCACAAGAGGTCGAGGATACCTCGGCTGTTGCCGATGCCGTCTTCCCAGATGACCGGAAGCCAATAGTTGTCGTGGACGTCAGCCGGGCCAGCAAACTCAGCGTTGCGAAGCGACTAGCCAGCCAACACCCCGGCGTCTTCACGCGGGTACCAGCTCACATCACCCGGAAACCCCAGGAGGGCGAAAAGGAAGGAGAGGATTACTACTTTGTTGATACACAAACGTTCAACATGATGCGTGACGGCGATCAACTCATCGAGTTCACGGAAGGAGACTACAGCCAAGGCACGAGCAGGAAACACATTCAAGCCGTCAGTGAGGCGGGCAAGGTTGCCATCATGGAGATGAACCACGATGTAAGTACCGATCATTCATCATTCCGCCTTTCCATCCCAAGGGGTTCATCTGCTAACATACTTCACCACGCACGCCAGAGCGCACAACAAGTCAAAGACTGGGACTTCTCAGCGCGCTTCATCTGCATCGAGCCACCCTCGCCACAGATCCTCGAACCGCAACTAAGGGAAACCGGCAGCGGTCTCGAGGGAAACGAGGGCCAAATCCAAGCCATCCTCAAAGACGCGGCCGAGCTCGCAAAGCAGCAAAAGTCTCCAGACTTCTACGAGTCGGTCATCAACGGTGGTGACGACTGGACGGCCCTCGAGGTGGCCGTATACGGCAAGCCGATCACCACCACCACCGATGCCAATGGCTCAGCTGAGGGAGGAAACAAGAGTGGAGGACCCGAAAACGGGGGTGTCCCCATGTCCGCCGCAGAGGGCACAACCAATGAGGATGAGCCCACGACGACAGGAGCAGGTGGAAACGGTGAAGACGTTCCGATGACTGACGTGGCTCCCGCGCCGGAAGCTTAAGAGACACCGGGTCGCGGACAGGGTAAGGCGTCATTTTCGAGCTTAGCGTCGTTTTGCTTCCCGGTCCTGAGGGCGAGGCAGAATGGAGGGGGTAAAAATGAATGGATGTATGTCTCGGTACAGAGGCTGATGGGTGTGATCAGATAGCGTTGAAATGGTTACTCGAAAATAAGTACAACATCAGCTTCAGCGTGATCACAGCAAGATTAAGGCTTTGTAACCGGACAAAAAATGCCCACACTTGTGCATAAATAGCAACGAAAATTGACAGGTCTCTCGTGCCAACAAGTTCTCCAGAGCGGTGTTTTTCTTCCAGAACAGGCAACGTTTAAAACATGCTGGCCCTTCTACAGCAGTTATCATGACATATCTAATACCGTCAAACACACGAAATAATGTCTTAGGAGGAGGTGTCGGTATGTGCCGACCTATATACAACATATTGAGAAACAAAGAGAACCAGGAGGAAGAAAAAAAAAAATGTCAGAAAAAAGAATGTTTCACCCGAGCTCGGTGGATCGCTAAGATGTTGACAAGAGTGGGATTCGAACCCACGCCCTTTCGGACCACGGAACAGAGTATTTAACTCAGATTAAGGGTTAACCTTAACGTGGCGCCTTAGACCGCTCGGCCATCTTGCCTTTTTGATGGTATAGAAGGTGGTAGCTGGAGCTTATGTAGGTGTGGATGTTGAGACTCGGCTCGCAACCTCTGTGATTTTCAAGTATGTGGTTGGGGTCAACAGTCGAAAGGGAATGGAAATATCTGCGCTTCGAAAACCGGTATTAAAGTGTTAGTTAGGAAAAAGAGGTGTAAATCTTATCAAACAGCTTAATTGAGTGCAAGTTCATATCCAGAGACCTAGAAAGAATTCCACAGATCTAGAGGGCATAAGTCAGGCAGATGAAGTTTCCAAAATACAGTTGAGCAAGCGACCAATTTTTCCTCTGCCAAAAGTGGAAGTTCGTAGAATAAACACGATGATATCGCAACCAAAATTAGCACAAATACACTTCATTTCTGCACTGCTCCAATTATTCACTTGTGAGAGGGCATGAGCAACAAACCCAACATGATCAAGACACAATCCTTTCTCTATACCTCACTTATGCTAAACCAACAAGACCTAACCTAGCGCAACCCTTCCGTTTACTCATCATCAGACTCTTCATCCTCGCTCTCCTCACTATCAAACTCATACTCGCTCTCCACCGATCCCTCGGGTCTGGGTATCATGACAAACGCGCCCAAGCAGGTAATCCTGTTCTCCGTCTCGTACGTGCCGAGCAGTTCTCCAACCTGTCTGCCAGGCTTAACATCACCCTTGACATAAAGATCATCGCTCTCAAGACGCCACATCCTGACGCGGCCATCGCTGCTCGCGCTGGCAATGAACCACGACCTCTTGCGGGTCTCCTCGTCCTCGATGGGCAGGACAGTAAAGTCCTTGATTCTGCCCTGCACGCCGGCCGTCTTGCCGCCGAGCTGAGCGATGAGCTTGGCGTTGGGGGTCTTGGCCTCGAACGTCTTCACCTTATGCTGCTCATTCTCCTTAGGTTCGGGAGCAGCAGGAGGCTCAAGCAGTTCCTTCTCAGCCGTGTCAAAGAACAATATCCTTCCGTCCTCCGTGGCGACAGCCAGGACATTCTTATCCTCCTCCTGCCCCTCTTCTTTTCCGAGAGAAACATACTTGATCTCATGCACCTTTGTCACTTTCGTGCCCACCACATCCGGCCTCATAACCCTGCACCTAGGCCTGCAGTCCATGCCGAAAACCAGCACATCCCGATCAAACGCCACCGCGAACTCGTCCTCGCCCCAGACGATCCTCCTCGCCTCGCCCGTGCTGTGTTTCCCCTCGCCAATCTCCATCAGAACCTCCTTGGGGAAGTTCAGCACGCGGCTCTTCTTGCCCGTCTCCAGGTTCCACAGCCGCATGCTGCGCTCGCCCTTGCTGACGCTGATCATGATCTTGTTGCTCGGGTGCACCGCAAAGTCGTTGACGCCCGCGGGCACCGCGCCCAAAGCAGCCGTGTCGCCTGACGGGCGGCCCTGCGCCTTGGGGATGGGACACTTGAAGGTGTGCAGCAGCGCCCAGTCGCGGACGCGGGTGACGGCCACAGTAGAATCCTCCGAGGCGGAAAGCAGCTTGGAGCGGTTGGGGAACACGAGGCGGGTGATGTTGGAGGAGTGGTGCAAAAGCGTGCCGAGCTCGCGATTCTTGGGGTTCTCGAGAACGGGGCGGGGGGTGATGCTGTTGAGAAGCTTCTGGTCGTCAGCGGCCTTGGCCGAGGGTGGGTGCGCCGAGATGTTGTAGATGTTGATGCGCTCGTCGGTGGCGCCCGTGGCGAGAAGGACCTTCTGTCCACCCTTTTGGCTGGGCGTGGGCGCCGAGGGAGGGGAGAGGGCCAGGCATCGGATGGCGGAGGCGTGGGCGTTGAAGAGGAAGGTATCGGCGAAGGAGACCTTGTACGAGATTGTTGTGGTTTCGGCGGCGGCCTTCTTCTTGTTCTTGGAGGGGGTAGCGGTCGTAGTGGTCGTGGGAGTAACGGTGGCGGTGATACCGTGAAGGACGCGGTCGTAGGAGCCGGCGACGACTTGGATATGTATCGGGGAGGTGCTGTCCACTTTGAATGGAGTCGCAGAAGTGCTGGAGTTAGAGCTGGCGCGCGCAGCCTTGGTTGGTGCTGGAGTCTTGACTTTCTTTGTTGACTGCTGTTCTGTTTTCTCGACAGGCTCGCTCTCAGGCGCGTTATCTCTCTTTCTCTTGTTGTTGGCCATTTTGGGTGCTGTTTGTGGTGGTTGGATTGCAATGAGGAAGGAAGAAAGATGGTGGAAAAAGTGGATGTTCAAGACAGGCAGAGGCAGTCTTCGGTCGTCAGTCGTCAGGGTCCGGTGCAGTGCTGAACCATTGCCATTCGATTCCATTGATTTTCCTTCGCAACTTTTTTAAGTGGGACCAAAAGTCTTATCTTATCAGTACACATGCGTACCAAGTAGGTACTGCCTCGACAACATGTCTTGGCATGTCTGCTCGTTCTCTACAAGTAGGTACCTACCGTACGATACAACCTACGTCTACGTGCCTCTGGACACATCATGGCATCTCGAGTCACGGTCTCACGAAATCGAGGGTACATATACTAGTATCTATATTCAACGCGTTCGTCACTTCGTTAGAACGCCTTAACCATGTGCAATCGCTTAACGGCAATCCTTCCATATATGTACAACATTGAGTAGCCCTTAAATCTACATGCGTTTCTTGCTGACATCTAATCTCCTCCTCTTCCTCCTTCGTTGACCACCATCCCTGTGACCATCATCTGCTGTTACCTATGATATGGGCAGCCAAAGCATATTATGGCTACTGCTCGTTTGCTAGTGCAGACATGACATCTGTACTTCGGTAGCCCTCGTCCTATTATTTTGTTGGAACAGGCGTGGCGTTGCCGCTACCCTGTCCTTGTTGTTGTTGCTGTTGCTGCTGCGCCACTCCCACCTGCTGAGCAGCCTGAGGATTTTGGATGGTCTGGGAAGCGAGCTGGGGAGCAGCTACAGGTTGCTGGGCTTGTTGGACTTGTGGTTGTTGAGCTTGTTGAACTTGATGTGGTTGCTGGGCCTGCTGACCTTGTTGGCTCTGCTGGCTTGTCTGTGCAACTACACCATGCTGAACTTGCTGACTAGTCTGTTGCGGCTGGTGCGCTTGTGGTTGAGACTGAGGTCGCGGTTGCTGTTTTGGTTGAGCTTGCGGTTGCATTTGACTTTGAGCCTGAGTCTGCTGAGCCTGAGCCTGCTGAGCCTGAGCCTGCTGAGCCTGAGCCTGTTGAGCCCGAGCCTGTTGACTTTGAACCTGTTGAGTCTGCTGAGTCTGCTGAGTCTGCTGAGCCTGCCGAGCCTGTTGAGTCTTCTGAGCCTGTTGCGGCTGGTGAACCTGCTGAGACGGTTGAGCTTGAGCTTGAGCTTGCTGAGGCTGCTGAGGCTGCTGGGCTTGAGGCTGATGAGATTGAGGCTGCTGAGCCTGAGCCTGGTGAGCCTGAGGCTGATGAGATTGAGGCTGGTGAGATGTTTGAGGTTGTTGAGGTTGTTGAGGGTGCTGAGGCTGTTGAGGCTGATGAGCTTGTTGAGGCTGGCGAGTTTGTTGAGGCTGATGAGCTTGCTGAGGCTGATGGGCTTGCAGAGGTTGCTGTAGCGGTTGTGCCTGTTGAGCCTGCTGCACCTGCGGCAGCTGTGGTACAGGGTGAGCTTGTTGACGCTGCTGCTGTTGAGGTTGTTGCTGCTGTGTCTGCTGTGCCTGTTGTGGTTGATGCTGCTGATGCAGTTGTTGCCCCTGCCCATGGACTTGTCCGGGTCTCTGTCCCTGCTGCCCTTGAGGTTGCTGGGTATGATGTGCCTGTTGAACTTGTTGGGCATGGTGGACTTGCTGGGCATTCCGAGCGTGTTGAGCTTGTTGGGTCTGATGAGCTTGCTGGGTGTGTTGAGTATGCTGGGCATTAGGGGTGTGTCGAGAATGCTGAGGATGCTGAGGTTGAACTTGACCCGGAGCTTGGCCTTGAACCTGACCTTGGACTTGACCCCCAACCTGACCCTGAGCTTGATTTTGCCCCTGATCTTGCCCCTGAGCTTGCCCCTGAGCTTGACCCTGCGCTTGCCCCTGACTCTGACCCTGGACTTGGCCTTGGCTCTGAGCCTGTCCATGCTGCTGCTGCTGCTGCTGCTGATGCTGTTGTTGTTGCTGCGCCTGCTGGGACTGCTGAGCTTTCTGAGCCTGTTGATGAGGAGTCTGTACTTGCTGCTGAGGTTGATGTACCTGCTGCTGGGGTTGCATTTGGTGGGTCTTCTGGGATTGCTGAGGTTGTTGGACCTGTTGAGGTTGCTGGGATTGTTGGGATTGCTGCACCGGCTGTCGTACCATCTGAGGCTGTTGAGACTGCTGCCGTGCCTGCGGAGATTGCTGGACCTGCTGCTGGACCTGTTGAGCCTGCTGAATCTGTGGCAGCTGATGTGCCTGCTGCCCCTGTACTTGGTGAGCTCGCTGGGTCTGCTGGGGATGTTGACCTTGTGCCTGGGACTGAGCCTGAGGATGGGCGTGGGCTGCTTGCTGCTGGGCCGCCGCCTGTGCCTGGAGCTGAACCTGAGCTTGAAGCTGAGCCGCTGCCATTGCTTGTGCCTGAACATGAGGCTGGGCTTGAGGCTGCTGAGGTTGATGCGCTTGGGCCTGAGTCTGCATTTGAGCCTGGGCAAGAACTTGGGCTTGTTTTTGCTTCTGAGTAGCCACCGCTTGCGCCTGGGCTACCTGGGTCGGGCTGAGCTGACCTTGGGCTACTACCACGGCTTGAGCGGCTTGAGCGGCTTGCTGTTGTGCTTGTGCGACCTGTTGTGCTTGTGCCTGTTGTTGAGCCCGTAGGAGCTGCGCATACTGGTGAGGACTCGTCGTAGTGGCCACGGCACCTAGACCATGCCCAACTCCACCTGACGCGGCATTCATGGCATGCTGCTGGGTTTGAACTATCAATCGACCCAAATGCTCCGTAGCCATTTGCCTAATCTGGTCCTGGGTAGCACCTGGATTCTTGTTCCTGAAATGTGTCTCAAACTCCTTGAGCCTGGTGTGGATATGAGAGTAGGGTAACTGCTGAGCGGGCATCTGAGGACCACGCGGTGACCCAGCCGGGAGCATTGGCATACTCAACCCAGCACCTGGAGACGTCACCATCCCAGCAACGCTATTTGCTGCATTGAACGAAGCCATCATCGCCTGCGCACTGACGCTGGACATGTAGACACCATTGTTTAAGCTATTAACCACCGGCCGCATAGGTGTTGGCGAGCCTTGAACACCGTTGATTTGAACCTGCGGTACTGGCGGCGGCTGCTGGGCGACTTGAGGCTGCTGTGGCTGCTGCTGTGCTGGTTGAGGTGTTTGGACCTGTTGATGCTGCGGCTGCTGCGGTAGTTGTTGTTGCTGTTGCGGTTGCTGCTGTTGCTGCGGCTGGTGTT